ATCTAGTCTAACCTACCTACTTGAAGTAGGGTGTTATCTGCATCTGGTTGGTCAGGACTTTGTTCAGACAAATTTTGATCTCCAAGGACAGAGACTCCATCACGTCCTTGGGCATCCTGTTTCAGAGTCTGATCACCCTTACAATAAAAGCTTTAAGTCAAAACCCCCACAACTCTAAGCAGTGGATTTTTTCCCCCCAACTTTACACAGAGCTTAAAGATCTCAGCTAAAGAATGTAAACTCAGTAGACCAATTCTATGTCTTCATAATCTTCTGCCCAAAATACCTATCTTTCCTACAGATCAGTCTGAATTTATTTGGACTGAAAAAATTATTTCAGATACTGCATCATCAGTTGACTGTTCTGTTTTTCATTGTGTTTAGCTTCCTGAATTTGCATAAATGCACATTGACCAGCAATTAAAATCGATCAGGAAAATGAAATACTTCAATGGAAAAGGGAAAGACAGCTCAACAAAATCTAGACTTTTTCCTTCCAGTTTGAAGCATAATAGTGTGTTTTAACTGCTTCTGTTCAGAGAGCACATTTTGTTCTATCTTCTTTTCCAGGAAAAAAATAATAATGGTGCCATGGTGGTTATTTAAACATTCTAACAAAAATAATTGCTTGGACTGTCTGAAGTTTATGAAACAGATGGAAGTATGATGAACAGAATATATTCAGGATGCTGATGACTAATATGACAAAAGTGTCTGATGGAGACTATACCTTTTCTGTACAGAAATATGCTATATGTGGTTATATGAGTGAAGAAGCTGTCTTTTTTTAAAAAGTGATGTAAAAATTAGGTGGAACCAGGCAATCAAGTCTTTGTCCAGAAAGGACATAAACACATTCATAAGCTGAGATTTGTTGTTATTGGGAGTAAATTTTGACTGTTACAGGGCAAATGTTCTACTGGCTTTTACAGCAGCAGAACTCCTATAGAAAATCCTCATCATTCATCTTCCCCACTGTACAACCCCATTTTAAGTGTTACGTAATTCTTTACTGTTTTGCCTGTCAGTGCCAAATGTGTCAAAAGCATTTTCTCCTTTTTATGCAGCTATCTTGTAATGTGACCAGTATCCTCATAAGGGCAAACAAGCAGTGCTTGATGACTTTGCCATTGCTCTCTTTCCCCAGGGAAAAAAAAAAAAAAAAAAGAGATGTGGAAAGGGCTGAAGTATTGCACACATTCTTTGCCTCAGTCTTTACTAGCAAGGCTTCAGGAATCCCAGGTCCCAAAGACCAGGGAGAAAGGTTGGAACAAGATGTACCCTTGGTGGAAGAGGATCAGGTCAGGGAATACTTAAGAAAACTGGAAGCATATGAGTCTGTGGACTCTGGTGGGATGCACCCACAAGTGCTGAGTGAGCTGGCAGATGTCATTCATTGCAAGGCCACTCCTTATAGTCTTTGACTGATCATGGTAACTGGGAGAAGTGCTTGATGACTGGAGGAAAGCAAATGCTACTCCTGTCTTCCAGAAGAGCAAGAAGGAGAACTCATGGAACTAGAAGCTGGTCACCCTCACCTTGATCCCTGGGAAGGTGATGGGTTGACTAATTCTGGAAACCATTTCCAGACACATCAAGGATAAGAAATCCATCAGGAGTAGGTAGCGTGGCTTCACCAAGGGGAAGTGATGCTTGACCAACTTGATACATTTCTGTGCTGGAATGACTGGCCTGATGGACAAGGGATAGAGTAGTCAGTATTGTCTGCCTGGTCTTCAGTGAGGCCTTTGGCACTGTCTCCTTTAGGATCCTTGTAGACAAGCTGTTGATGTGTGTGCTGCATAAGCAGAAAGTGAGGTGGATAGAAAAATATCTGAACAGCCAGGTCCAGAGAGCAGTGATCAGTGGCAGAAAATTTAGTTGGAGGCCAGTAACTAACAGGCTCCGTCCTGTTTAACATCTTCATTAGAGATCTGGGTAGTGTGACAGAGTCATAGAATCATAGAATCATTTAGGTTGGAAAAGACCTTTATGATCATTGAGTCCAACCTTTAACATAACAATGCCAAGTACACAACAAAACCATGTCCCAAAGCACTTTATCTACCTTTTAAATACCTCCAGGGATGGTGACTCCACCCCTTCTGTGGGCAGCCTGTTCCAATGCTTAACAACCCTTTGGTGAAGAAATATTCCCTAATGTCCAATCTAAACCTCTCCTGGCACAACTTGTGGCCATTTCCTCTTGTCCTAAATGTAATTTCAGCAAGTTTCCTGGTGACACAAAACTAGGAGGAGAGGCTGATACACCAAAGGATCATGCTACTGTGCAGAAGGATCTTGACTGAAGAAATGGTCTGGCAAGCACCTCATGAAGTTCAACAAGAGCAAATGCAACGTCCTGCACCTGGGGAGAAAGAACTCCGTACACCAGTACATGCGGGGGATCACCCAGGTGGATAGTAGCTTAGCAGAAAAGGACTCGGGTGTTCTGGTGCGCACCAAGGTAGCCATGAGTCATAATGTGCCATTGTTGCAAAGACACTGATGTTATCTTGCACTACGTTGTCCAAAAGTATCGCCAGAGGGTTGAAGCAAGTGATCCTTCCCTGTCTGGGCACATTCCTGGGCAACTGGCTTGAGCAGGTGTTTGGACCAGGTGACCTCCACAGGCCCCATCCAGCCTCAACATTCTGTGTGTGAGTACAGCAGCCAGATCATACATAACCTAACTTTGAGGGTCTAGCCCTGAAAAACAAGAGCCTAACACATGGGCAAAGATATGAAGGTTCTGTTGGTGTGGCATGTTGGAAGACAAACTGTTGAATAGTCGCCAGTCTCAACAGGGAGCTTTCTAAAATCACTACCCTTCAGCATGCAAATGGCTGGACCAGTCAAAAACACTGGCCTTTCCTCATTTATTTATTTTTTTCCTCCTGGGACTCACAGTTTGAAGTCCTTTTCTGAGAACGGGCACCTACCTCCTTTCAGGTAACTCAAGAAGGATAGCTCTGTTTTCCCTTAAATACAACAGTGGGGAGGAAAGATGCTACCCTTCTTTCTGTACGCTAAATTAATGGTTAGATCATTTTTTTATGATCCGTTTCCATCTTCAGTCAGAGAGGATCTGTCTGAAGGGATCTTACCATCAGCCTTTAAAGTATTATGTATGGAAGTGTGTGTGAGGATGGGGAAGAGTCTGTGCACCCATGAACGATCTGTTTGTGTGCAGAAAATGCAGCAGGATTCAGAGGGCACGGGTGTAGAGAATCCCAGAGCCCTGGGCAAGAAGTAGCCGTGATTGGAAAAGCCGTGGGCAGATCTCCTGCCTCCTGGGGGGATGGTTGTGCATATTTTCGATTTAACAGTGATTTGTATGCAGAAACAGCCTGCTTCTCACAGCTGAGGGGCCTGCCTGCTGGGCTACTCACCTGCTCTGTTTTCAGTCCATGAATCTTCTAATGAGTATGGCATTTACATAGAATAGGAAGCAATATGAAACATGGAACACAATAGCAAATAAAGGAAAAGAGGAGTAAAAATAGGTGTGAGCAATCCAGAAGTCCAGAAAATAAGCATTTAAAATTCCAGTAGTACCTTTTTCTTCCTTTATGAAATTTTTGAATTTGTGTTATTGATTTGAACTCAGAATGATGGAAGGTAAGAGCTAAAAATGGAGTTGAAAACTGTTCTTGAGGCATCTGTTTGAAAATTGATGTGATTAACTTTACATGCAGAATGGCCTTAGAGTTCAGCCAAGATGGAAATACCCTTAAGCAGAAAAACAGAAGACACAGAATACACAGAAATGCGGTCCCTTTCACCTGGTTTCTTTTCTCTTAGAGAATTCAGTAATAGATACTTAATTAGATTGAAGAAAATGTGGGAGAAATGTCTCCATTTTCTTTACAGATGAGCACTGACGCATTATCTGAATCAAAAGATTTTGCCACTTGCAGATAATCAGTGTTAATTTAGTTAGCTGATCTTTTCTATGAATCCAAAGGAATGAGAAAGGATCTTATATGAAAACATATTCCACAAATACACTTATTTTCTCAGGCTCCAATAACATTCTGAGATTCTGTGAAAATATAAGGCTGTCAATTTTTGTGATGCAATCAAACTATGAAGCATTTATTTATGCATATAAGCAATCACTTGCCATAGTATATTAATAAGGTCACAACTGAATTTTAATAATATATTGACCTATTTTTATTTAATATTTTCTTAAAATATTGGACAATTGTTTCTGCATTTTATGCAGTTTTACACCTTTTTGTCCATTGTACTTCTCTAACCCCATACAATTGTATCCTAACTGACAGCAATTGTTCTTCAGTAATATCTTAGAATTTTATTTTTTGTTATATTCTCAGATATTCTGGGATGCAAGAGCTGTTTGACAGCTCGTGCTACTACGTAACAGTATAATGGTTACATAAG